ATGGCAGCACGGCAGCACACAAGGCAACACCTCAGCGCAGTTACCTCGTACCTGAGTCGCAACAGTGTCGTGCCTACTGCCCTTGAGAATTCCTCATTCTCACTCTAGGATAGAGCGGCTCTTGAACCTAATCCCGACTCGTGGCTCTAAGGAAAACTAGTCTTCAGAATATGAGAGTTAGTTGCTAAGCTTCCAACCAAGATTGATAATAACTTTTATTTGGCCGACGTTTCGGTGCTTTCACCTTCTTCAGAGCCTGGAAAAGACGAAAGCCATTTAGGAAACTACCCGTCCAAACACTATTTCAACCTACAAGAATCATTCAACAGGGTGTAAACTACTAAAGGCGATGTCATGGAGGAAGATGAGAACGAACCTTTAGAGATGCTGACCAGAGAGGTCCACCTGCCACCCCGAGCTGGTAGTAACGCGGCTTGAAATAGGGAAAGCCTTCAGATACGAAAACTAGTCTGCTCCATGTGAAACTGTTGAAACTGTGGTATGAAATCTTACCACATGGTGGTCAACGGGTTAAATCTGAAACAGTCGACAGTGGTGAAAATTGTGAGCAATGCTCGACAGTAGGAGGTCACTGAAGTTCAGCCGTGGAAGAAGGACACCACTACCAGTATAGCCGTCCTCTTGGCATGACTGTAATACACGCTTTGCATCTCGAGATGCCCAAGATGCAAGAGAACCGAGGGCAAAATAGATTTCATAGATATTTTCTTCGTCGCACTTAAACTCTCTCAAGACCACTAAGTTGAGGGCTTCGGGATGGATAGCAAAATAAGTTGTTCTCATCGGATTCCGATCGTGTAATCAGCGAAGAAGCACCACTAATAACGGCGCGAAGACTTTCACCATCAAAACTTTCAATATGGTTTTAGGCCTCGTTTCACAGCTGCACAGCTGGACACAATACCTCCACAGCATGTTCCTGAAGGAGTGACCGTACTCAAGTTCGAGTCACCACTGCATTTTGCTAACGTCACGTTGTTCACAGATAAGATCTCTGAGCTGATAACATCGGTCAAAGAAGATGTGAGCTTTGCTTTGGTGAGAAACTAGATAGGTCATTAGGTCTGTATCTGCAAGAGCAATATTCAGTCTCTGTTGAATGGACGGGCGATCGTTGTGGATTGCACGGCAATGGCATACGTGGACAGTATGGGTCTGGACGCACTTAGAGAGGTACTGTATCAAACGTGGGAATAAGGATAACTTTAATTCTTCATGATTACAGGTATACAACGACGCGAAAGAAGAGCGATGTGGCCTTGCAGTTTTGTGGATTGAATGGTGGGATCTCTTAACAATAAGTATTTCTATCTGACTATGGTGCTTTAGAAGAAGCTCATGGTGATCTAAGTGTGCAGCACCTGTTTCAAACTCCAAAATATCATTGAAATATGAAGTTAAATGAGTGAAGCGAAGTATTATGAATCAAGAATCAAAACTTCGCAATGTCGAAGTGTTGTGGCTCAATAATTTTTTGTTTACCACGAATAATTCAAGCCACAAGGGAGCATAGTACGGTCATGGTGGACAGGGTGAAATCGTCACGTTGGGAAAATTTTGGAATCGGTAGCACCACTCGCCGGGAGTCGACGGTTCCATGGTGTTGTCAAATGTACCATCCACTTGACACACTCCAACCAGATTCAGTCTTTCTTTTGAACTATCCGGGAAGGGGGGAGGGTTAGAGGAGAGGAGCTGGTATGTGCGACTCCGGAGGGGTTCGCACTTGGGGTTGACCAAGGTTGGCCATTGTCGGAAAAGTGTGAACGGGGGTGGCAATTGTGGAAGTTGAAGTAGCTGCGGGAAAGGAGGTCGTTTTCGAAGTGTTATGTGAAAGCTTGACGTAAGGAGCTTGAAATGGGCAAATTTGAGGTTCGCCGTATCTTTACTCGCAGCTATATCCCACCCAACCGCTCTGTAGTCGTTTTGGAAAAAAGCTGGAGGCGTTGGAGCGCGGCGCTAGTCTCAAAATCAAGTGCAGTAAAAACAGCCATGATGGTGAGGGTGATTGAAGGTCGGGGGTGGGAGGAGGAAGTTGTGTTGGAACCCCCTCTCCCACCTTCAAGGTTGATGACGGTGTTGGGAGTCGTCTTGAGACCCTCTTAGGTTTGGAGGGGGGGGGGTGGAATTTTTTGAAGTGCGAACGACGGTTGATCCTGATTCCTGCTCCCTAATTCAATTTAACTTGCCGTCATGGGGTACAAATCATTGTTTCTCAATTATTTAGCAAATACTAAAAATTTCTAACCATTTTAGCGGCTCTCGATGTAAAAATCCTACAAACACGAGCACTTCCACTTTCAGCACAACAGAACAATTACCCCCT